TGCGCTCATTTATCAAAAACAGACAACGACAAACCTTTAGCCAAGTTTCCAAGCCATTTGCCATGGCCACGTCTCGGCCGGGCGCGGCATCGGCAATGGCAGCGGCTTATCAATTGCATTTGGAGCCCTGGGCCGCAGTTGGCTCCATAAGTTGGCAAAAGTGCTAGCTAAAATGGAGGGAAATAGAAAATCTAAAGCATTTAACTTGCAATGACAGCGGCACCCAAAAACCCAGCAGCTAATGGTCAAAACTTATCGTCAAACTTAAATGGGATTTTATTATCGCAGCCAAAACTTCTTTTCATATGCCACGCAGCAGCAGCAACAGCAGGAGTAGGAGGAGGAGACTGAGGCAGCAGCAGAGCCAGGGTACAAAAAAAATATCATAAAAGTGGGCGAGGTCTGAGAGTTTTTGCAAGTTGGTGTCGTGTGGGCGTGTCGTATAGCTTTTTTATGGCCACCAACATTTTTTTTCGTTTTATTCATTTTATTTTTTTGTGCAATGGCTAATGTGCTGATTTATATAATAACCATAATTCCGAGTGTAATTATAATGCACTTGGTTCTCATAGTTGTTGTTGTTGGTTGTTCTGTTTGTTCTGTTGTTGTTGCTGTTGCTGTTGGTTTTTCCTCTTTTTTTGGGGCAGCCTTCATAACTCTTTTGTGGCAAGTTGCACTTGTCAAAATTTGCATTGTGTATTCGGTTTTAATTAAGCCACGAATTACTTAATTATAAAATAACAATTGCACCATCATCACAACAACATCAAGACGCATAACAAACGAGTTCACTCTGCCTGCTCACATGTGAGCCAGCGATGCCAGCCGAGCTGCAACTAGGCATCTTGTTGTGGTTTCTGTTTTGGCAATTAATGTCAATCACTTAGCTCCCATACGAGTGCCGCAGAGCAGTCCACGGCGACAACGATTCTGAGCTATGCGAGCGATGCCAGAATGGTAATTCTTACTCTTCCTCCCCTCCCCCTACCTCTCCAATGATGATGCAGCTCGTCATAATGAGGTTGCATCAGCAGCTGCTGGGTGAGCGGCTTGTGATGCTTGGCAAACAGCTTGAGCTGCTCCGAACTACGACAAATTAGAATCCAAACCTTTTAATGTCAAATCAATTAAACATTTTGCCCAAAAATTATGAAGACCCGCTTCAGAATTTAATGGAAATACAGTGACTGCTAGCTGTTAGCTACAGGTATGTAGTTTAAATACTAATGAAGAGATTCTTATAGAAAAATTATGAAAATTGCAATTAAAATTTCAATTAGGCGCGATTAAAAAAATAATAATAATAATTCTGCAATTGCCTTTAAATTAAGAGTGCATTTATTTTAAGGAAAGAATTTACTTTTTTCGATCTTCGTATAAACTTTAACTACTTTTTACATCAGTTGCAATTAAGAAAAGCTTTAGATACGATTAAAAATATATTTAGTATATGGTAAACAAATCTTTCTCTAGCTAAACTCAATATTACTTTATGAAATCTCTGCTCTTCTTGTTATATTGTTAGTTATTATTTGAGAATGTGACAATGACAGCTTGCCTTACATAAAGAACAGAAGTCAACCCAACTGCTCACACTATTCATAAAATTAGTTGATTAGTGGAGATGTGAGCTATGTAGTTGACCTTACTTTTCATGTGCACAGACTGCACAGTGGCACTGTATGCTAGTTAAATTAGTTAATGAGCGCCGTTGCATGAAAAACCACAAAACCTAAAAAAGAAATAACTCAAAGGCATTAAGAAAAATACAACAACTACAACAAATAAACAGAAATTGAAAAAAAAAAGAATGCCAGCTAGTTTAAGGTGCGGATGTTGTAGCCGTTGACTTTGAATGCAATCGTAAAGTGGCAACAAATTGGCAACGACACAAGCAACATACACAACAGCAACAACAACAGCATCAGCAGTTGCAACTAGCGAAGAACATGTTGATACAGTCACAGAAATTTGTTTCTACAATTGTTGGCAACATTGAACTTTAAATGGTAGCAAGAGCCAAGCCAAAGTCACATGTGATTGGCAAAAGCAATTGTTGTTAGAGCTGCGATGATTCTCTGCCTTGTGTCTGCGATTCTAGCGGCAACATTTTGCGTATCTAGTGACAACATCGCTGCCCCAAAAGCAAACTCAACTATCATCTCACATCATCTCATGTCATGATGCAGCAAAAAACCAGAAAAGAAAAGAAGAAAAAAAAAAAAACATTTCGATTTGGTTATTGATTTCGTTTGTTTTAATTAAAGTACAACTTAAAAGTCTGTTGCTACAAGCGGCAAACGGACACCTTGACACCCCACGGCAAGTGCCTCTTCATGACCTTCACTCTTGATAAATGATGGGCGTCTCGAATGCCAGCTCCACAGAGCAGCAACAATTGTTGAAATTTGCTACAATTTTCTAATTCAAATTCAATTTCAATTTCAGACTCTCAGTCTACAAGCAACAAGGGCTACAACATTTATGTTGGCATTTAAGTGTTATGCCAATTATTAATAAAAACCAAACCAAATGAATAGAAAATAGAGCTACAAATAATGAACAAATGGACGCGCTTAGCCGAAACGCGCATACACTTGCATGCTTTTTAAAAACTCATTAAGATTTTCAATGTTCACGAATACGTTTTAAATTGGAGCTTAAACGCACTTGGCTAAAACGAAATCTACGCTTGGCTCAAGGTTTGTTTGACTATTTCAAAAGTTAAATTTTTAAATATTTTTAATTGATATTTTATCTACATGTTTAGCTTTGGGCAAAGAAATGTTTTAAAGTGTATATTTTATAATATTTTTATATGCAATTATTTTCTTAGCCTTATAACAGAGTAGTAAATTTTATTTGTTGTATTGTTTTCTGTAAATATTACATTCTTAGTAGTTTTATCAGAACTAAATATATTTAATAAAAAAATATATATGTTTATCTATATTAATTTTCAGGTTTCTATACATTATTAGTAGTTTTTTATAAACTACATACAGCTATAATAATAATAAGCTTTTATTTTTTATAATTTTCTTTTCTTTGTGTTTCCAGAGGAGTTTATTTTATATTTTATTAATCAATATTTTATTTTATTTATCAATATTTTGAGCCATCGATGACTCTATTGTTGGCAAATACAACAAAATATGCTGCCTGTGTAAGGCATTTACATGTTTAGTGCATATAAAAATATCTTTTAATAACTCCGACTACCCTTGCACATCAGCTAAACAATGCAACATCGATGCATTAGCATTTCGCATGCTCGCTCTACATACCTGATTCCCAGGGATTGGCAATAGTAATATTTATTTTTTATATCTCTTGGCAAACTATATATGTAAATACTTAAAAGACACTTAAGAGTTTGTGTATCTCATCTGTAATTCATTCAGTTTATAGCAAAGTCAAAGTACTTACCGCGTCTCTTGCCAAAGCGTATGGACAAGTTTCAGTTAAGTTGGCTCCGCAAACATAAGACTTCTTTCGGTTGTTTGGCTCATGCACAATGAGATTTTGTTTACTTGAATATGTTGCACGCATTATTTCAGTTAATAAACCTTCTCGAAATCTATAAAGAGTGTGCGAAATACAACAAAAAAATGGCAAGGCGGAAGGCAAAAGGTCAACAACAAGGTTGGCATAATTGTTGAGTATGTTTTTTTTTTTAATCGAAATTTTCGACGCACGCATTTAATGCACAAAGTAAAAAATAAATAGCAATTGAACAATTACAAAACGTTAAAAGTCAATTATGGATGCAATTGAAGCGTAAACGTTGCGCATCTGCCATTCGAAGGTTTTCCTCGGCTCCAATTTCATTGAAAGTTGTGCAATTTGTCAATCTACCGGAACCTGTATGCTCCCCCCTCTCCGGCCATTCACCATGACGCTTCTGCGTTTGTGTTAAATATTGTTAACGCTTTGTCGCTTGCAAAGTGCGTAGTCGTTTGTAATTTTAATTGCGGCTCATTCAATGATTAACTATTTCAATAATTCCCATAACAACATTTGCTAATGAAAAATGCAGGAAAGTTGTTTGTTTAATTTATTTTATTTATTTTTTACAATCTATAAATTATATGAATTTATTTTTGTTATATTGCACATTGTAGAGACAAACTAGTCGTTTGTTAAAGGTCAAAAGGTGACACTACATTTAAGGTATTCAGTTCGGAAAGTGTGTTTGCTTTCAGCCAGGGACAATCTTAAAATAAATTTATTAAAATTAGTTAAGAGTCTAAGGAAATGAACTCAAAAACATATTGCACTTATTATTCAAGAAACTTGAAGCTTAACGAAAATTTAAAAATAAAATGTAATATGGAGACAATGAATGAAAAAATAAGTCATTATAGATGGTTTTTGGGATAGAAGGAATAGATTAATAAATATTAATTTCCAAAAAAATTCTGAATTTAAAGTAAACATGAAAGATAAAATATAAGCATTAAATTAATTAACTGAGATTTTTTTTTGTATTCAATTTGTAAATGAAAGATGAAATATTTGGATAGAAAACAATGTTCGATTGAAATTAATAAAATCACAATTAGAAATTTTAATATTTGAAACAATTAAAAAATTTGAGCGAAATATAAATATATGTTTGCATATTGATTATTTGAAAATTTACTTAAATTTTAATCTTTTTAATTTTATATTAATTTGTTCTTATTAATTTGATATAAATTGTTCCAGTACTTTTCAGAATAACAGCCAAAAATATTTATAAGACCTAACAATTTTATTTCATTGATAATAAACACTATTTTCTAATTAAATGAATTCAGAACAACAATAACAATAAAATTTAAATTCAAATGAGCTCTACATATTTCCTTAACACATTATAATTAATTTTTATTCATTTTATTATTTTTTAAACCTTTTGATTTCAACTTAAAGTGTAAATTGCACGTTTGCCCAATGTTTTAGCTGTTTGGGTTTGTTTTTTCTTGTTTCCTGCTGCTGCGGCTAGATGTGCTCTTGTGCTCAGTGCGTGGTTGTGCCGCTCTCGAAGCTAACGTCCGCATGGAAGCCCGTATCGTCTGCATGATAAATCACGTTCTGGACGCGTCCATCTGGCAATAAAATGTGATATTGACCGCGTGTCACGCCATGCAAATCCCTATTCTGCTTGTGGCCAAAATCGTTGCCGGTATGGAAATCACGTATGCGATAACCGAAGGCATACTTTGAGGCGTACTGATTCAGCTGTAATGAAGAGCAGAAGGGGGGAAACCCGGGCGGGAGGGAGGAGTTTTAGTTTAAGTTAGCTTCAGCTCTTACTATATATATATATATGTATGTATATCTATGTATGTTTGTTCTTATGGCTGGCTGATAGGTTCTATTGGCGCAGTTGACAATTCGTGCGCATGCCGAAAAGAGTATGCAAAATGCAAAAATATATTAGGGCAGCTGTCGTCTACAGTGAGGACTGGCAAACAAATGCAACAGCAACAACGATGTCAGCTGCAAATATGTAAAATAGTTTAGTGCACAAAAGCCATAGCGAAGTTTTTGTACACTTTAATTATGTGTATATAAATGTAGAGTGTCGTGAATAAACAATATCGGCAGTCAAATTATGAGGGGAAAATGTAGTAAAATTTTAAACAAAATGTTTGCATTATAAATAACATTATATGATAAGCATTCTAAACTTAAATTAAAATACATTGAAATCAAAATATATTGAAGTTATACGCATATATTTAAATTAAAATAAAATACTTATTCAGTATTTAAAATATATTTAATGAAAATAAAATATTTGAAAAAATATGTATTATTCAAATAAATATGTTTTTAAATTAAAATAAAATTTTTATAACAATATTCAGCATTTTAAATGAAATAAGTTTAAATTAAAATAGAATCTTTATAAAAAATATTCAATAATTAAATGAAATATTAAAATTAACATAAAATATTCAAAGCATTGCTGATTACATTCAATAAAAACTGAATATAATTAATCAAATAAAATAAGTATATAGCTTTGTGGAAATAATTCATTTAATAAAAAACTTCCATAATAATAATAAATAACAATAAAATCATATTTAAAATAGTTTAAATATATTAATTGAACTAACCCATGCGATGCATCTTTATAATGTTTATAAAAATATATATCCATAAAATCGCCATATCACCAGTCTCTTATAATATTTCTAATATATGTTTACAAACTACAGACATAACCTAATCTTCTTTGAAACCTACAGTCTTTACTAGTTCTTAAAGACAGCTCTTCGTTCTCTATATTTATTTGTGTCAAAGAGCCCTGCAGCAATTCATAGGGCATACAAGAACAATAGACTCTGAAGTTTCTAAGATTCGCGGCTGGCGGATGGAGCGAGCTGCTGCCTGTGCGTCTCTGTACTTCCGGAACAGATGTGTGCTCCAGGGGGGAGTTCGGGGCTGACTGTCATTCACATGGCGCTCAGCTATGCATGTGATTGTAAATTGTATTGAGGCAGGCGCGTGCGTAATGAAATTTGCAACAATATATGAAAAACAGTGAATGCGCCAATATCTTCTAGCAGACCATGCCACCCGGTCCCAAGTTCCCAGCAGCAGCACATCCCGTTCCCGTTCCCATTCGCACTCTCATTCCCATTCTCCTATCTGCCTCAATCAGCCCATCAGCGTGATTTCATTTCGCATAGATTTGTTTTGTAGATGCCATCCAGAATTTTGGTGTTGCCTTTTTATTGTAAGTACTTCTCTGGTAAACATTTCAAGATGAAATAAAATATTTTGCACAAATGTCGGCATGCGTTATCCTGTTTGTGTGCACGCGTGTGTGTGAGATGGTTTATGTGTGTGCGTTTCCGTTTCCTGTAACTTGGAAATCTCGTTGTCGGCTCGACAATTGTCACAACTTTCGCTACATGTTTTGTGGTTTTTATTGCGTGGGCGTTTTTTGGGGCAGGGAGGTGGGCGTAGCAAACTTTTTGATATGTTAATGAGTTGTAAATTAAGTTTAATTAAGTTACATTGTTGTCGCCAGGCATTTTTCTTGTCAACTGCGGCGAGTGCAAGCAAAACTCTGCATGCCCCATGCAAAGTTTTCCAAAATTTATGTGTTTTGTAGCATTGTGTGATAGAGGAAGACAGAGAGGCAGAGAGAGAGTGAGAGAGAGAGAGAGAGCGAGCGTGAGTGGAGGCAGAGTTTCTCAAGTTGTTCTGGAGTATTTTGTTGTCATTTGTATGCTCCTCTAGGATTAGTCAAAGCTTGATTGCAGCTCCAGCAACTGTTCGAGAGTGAGCGAAAGCAAAGTTTAGCATCTTAGATACTTCACAGAGCTATAGCTAAAATATTACAGCGGAGCCTTCTCCATTGACGTTGGCGATTTAATTTTGCTGCTTTACTTCCTGCACTGCCTTGTGAAATTCCTCAAGCGCTTTTTAAATAACTTGAATAACAATAAATAGTTAACTGCTTAGCAAAATTTTTTGCATTTTTCTGCTTTTTCTTTTCCTCTTCTTTTGCAAACTTTATTCTGCGTTTACACAATTAATATTCACTTGTATTTTGCTTCAGTCTTCAGTCTTCGCTCCTCTTTCGCGCTTATTCTTGCTCATCTTTAAACCGCAAGCGCATTTATTATAATTAAGAATTTCCACGCTCTAGCAATTTGCCAACATTTGAGCTTAAATTTTTATCGTGCTTTGCTCTTAATGAAATGTAAAAAAATGTTTCTGCAGCTCGCGCATTGTTGTTGCAGTCAGAAGTTTGCAGGCGGCGAGGCGCAGAGTGCGACGACTCCTTCATTAACAGCAAAATGTTAATAGATTTTTGACATGCAAAACAGTTTTCGAACCGCGCTGCAAGGATCTTTCAAAGCAGCGCCAATAGATGATGGACTTATGAATATCACGTAAAAGATTGAAATAAGAATAATTGACAACAAGAGAGAGCTTTGTTATTATATTAGGTATGATATAAAGAGGTGTGAGAAGGAGAGGAAACTTAAAAATATATTTATATATTTTGTATGGATGGAAAGATGAAAATAAATATAACCGATTCATTAAAAAGTTAAAAAAATATATATATAATATTGTTTTATAATATTAAACATACGAAATTCGTATATCATGGAAAATTTTCTTATCTTGCAAGAATTTTTTTTACTTTATATAGAAATTAAACTATTAAAAGATTACTTAACAAAAAACCAGAATTTAACTTAATCTTCATTCATTCAATATCTCATAGGGTATTTATATTGTCATAGACGATAAACCGCATCGTCAGCGAATATGTAAATTTTCTTTGATTTTTTACTTTCCATTGCCGGCGCAGGAGTCTGGAGCTGGGTCTGGGCGGACAAGCAATTTATTGCGAGGTGCTGCAGTCGCAGAATTTCATTACAAATTTGATTTGATTAAATGAACATAATTACAATGCAGATGAAACATGATGAGAGCTGGTCAAACGTCAACCAATCCTCGATGAGCATGAGCCCTATCCGTGGCAGGACTTGACTCTCGTATAAGTACTGGTCAATGTTTGCGTTTCATGGCGCGGACAGGGCAAGGGGGTAGGGGGTGGGCTCTGGGCACGTCGGTAAGGACGTATGGAAGCCAATGACTAAATCACATCACGTGCCATATTGAAAAAAGGGCTTACGTACACATATTTTTTGTGCCAACTGTAAATCAGCATTCGTTTGATGATGTTGATCAGATCCAAAGCCCAGACAACAGCAGCACCAACAACAACAATAACGGTGGCGATGACGATGCAATTTTTCTGTGACTGTAAATTGACTTGCCATTAGATGCAGACGAACCGGACAGGCCATATAGATATATGTAGTATTCACTTCTATATATACATATTGATATATACATATATAGTAATGTCAATGTCAACAGGACAGAGCCAGGCACTTGGTGTGGCTTAAGAAAAATATGACAAACAGTTGGTCTCTCACGGAATTTATTAGAAATTGGCTTTGGCCCCGGCTCGGACATTTCGCAGGCACTTTGCTATAACACATTTTGCATTTAACACGTTCCTCCAAAAGTGCCGGCGAATTGTGAGCCGAGTCGAGTGCAAAATGCAATTTGAGGCCAAAATACGTGAGTTCGTTTAGTTTTGCTCAGTTGAGTGCGGGCGAGCGCACGCACACAGATAGCCAGAGATAGTCACTGAGCGAGACAGAGGGCTCACAGTGGGATATAACTATTTGTCATTCTATGGACTGTGAATAACGGACAAATATTTGCTGTATTCATTTTAAATAAATAAAAACTATTGCAACTATTGAATTTGTTTGGTAATATAAATATATATTTTATAACTACAAATATATTATATATATAAAATCAAAAGGATTCCCTTTCTCTCTAAGTATATATGTAGATAAATCAAGCATGTTTGTATATACAAAATCAAAATATAAATGAATTTTAATAGGAATATAATTTCTGCTCCAAAACGAAAAGTTTTTGATTAGATGATGATATTTTATACTTAATGTTAATCTTTTAACTATTTAGGCGATTTACTTTAACATCATCTACTTTTCATATCAAGTTGTATATAAAGCACTAATCGAATTGCTATTTTTATTTTTTTGGTTTAAAGAGTATTATGATAATTATTATTTTTCTTTATTTTCGCCTCTAAGATATAAGAGCATTATGATAATTATTATTTTTCTTTATTTTCGCCTCTAAGATATATTTATATTTATTTTATTTATTTTTTTTTTGTTAGAGAAACGCCAATTGTTTTAGTAAGTCTCAATAAAAAAAAAAAAAAAAAAAAAAAATAATAATAATAATAGATAATAATAATAGATAAAAAAATAATTACATAATAATAGATAAAAAAAAAATAAATAAATAAATGAAATTAAACAATAAAAAAAAAACAATAATACATATGTATATATTTCTTGTCATCAATTAATTCGATCACCGTAAACATTTTTAAGGCAATATAAATCTTTTAATATAAGCTTGGCGACGTAAATTGGACATATTGTTGATCACAGCATTAAGAGGCCTATTATAAAATCTATAAAAAAAATATTAAATCAGAATGTGCCGAAATGAGGAAAACAAAATTGTAGATCTCTAGCTCTCTAACTAAAATGTGCTTCAGCAGCTCGTTCTATTTCAAAAAAGGGAAATTGATGACATTTTTGTATGCCTTTTTAAACATTTAGGCTCTCATTTATAAGCCT